CCCCCCCCCATCAGTCCAGGGAGCCAGACCTCGGGCCCCCACCCCAGAGAGGCCTGGGTCGGTTTTGTGAGTCACCCCCAGAGCACGTCAGCTATTTTCCAAATTTAGCCAGTAAGACAGAGCTGGGTAGTTTGTCAGTGCCAGCCTGCGCACTGGAACGCACTCCGCTTATACCTCGGGGTGTGAAGAGTGCGCGGAGTGTGTCTAAGGGGTGGAGGGGACTTTAACCTCATTTTCAATGACAACATTCATAACTGTCAGTCACACACAGGCCTCAGGCATAGATATGAGATGTTTCTGATAATCTGCTACTATATATGGTGATATCAAAAAAGGAATAATATCATGAGAGGCACTAGCTGGACAGTTGCACAGGCGAGTCGGGTGGTCAGTCTCACAGCAGGACAGAGCTGTGCTGTACAGATTCTCATGTGTCAGTTCTGTTTACCTGCTAAATAATTTCATTAGTAACTGTAACACAGCTCATCAGCACCAGTGCCACTTTTAATGAGATTAAATGTCTGACCTTTCACGGCATCCACTTCCAGGACTTGAACTGGAGCAGCTCATTAGTTAATTGAGTGATGGATGATTCAGTTGTCTTCCTGCCGGATGATCTGATGCCGTTTACTTATGATGACAGATCACTGGATGGACTATTACTGTGGCTTCAGCAAAATTTGACACCAGCCCGGTGCAGCTAGAGATCGCCGATCGGTTGCCCACAGACTGGACCTGATGTGACGGGATCTGATTGGAGATTCAGTGCTGGACTGCGGAGTTTCCATGCCCTACTGACCCGGACCCGGTTTCCACGCCACAACGGACTGGCACTTTTACAAATTATACCATGGCCACGAATGTCACAATATCCCTTGGCTCAGCCATTTCCAAGGGGGTTGCCACGGTGCTTGACAACAGTCTCTGTGCAACAGCATCCCTGCATCACCAGTCATTCCATAACCAGTGTGGGACAGGAAGAGGAACTTTTGAGCGTAACTCAATGGGCTAATAACATTTTCCAAATCTTCTACCATATTGTTCCTCTTCACCCTAACCCCAGCAGGTGGCGCTTGTCTGGTCAGGTCCAGTCTGCTCAATTAAAGAGCCATGAAAGCATAGGCGGATGGTTCCTCTTCAACACAAGCACTAAGAGACGTATGGTGATGATGTCAAGGTCTGAGTCTGTGTGTGAAATTTATACAGACCCTGGGAGCATCAACTGAGGGGATCGTAATTCTTCTACAACAGGAGACGTCAGACACGATTCCAGAGGTGGAAAATTCAAGTTCACAAAGTATAAATCCAGACCACAATTTTGTTTCAAGCAACCAGTTGCGTCACTGTCATTGACTGTCACACTTTACGTTCAGTTGGTTAGTTCGAACAAAATCTTGGTCTGCATTTGTACTTTCTGAAACTGAACTGCCAAGGGTGATGTTCCATCAGGACAAGCAGCCGGTGCTCATATCTGACCTGCAATCTCTCTAGTTTACTTACTAGGATCATTAAGGCCAGGTTGGGTTTGGACCAGCACAATGAGAAAATGAG